AAGAATTGAATGAGTCACAGTAAACAGAAAAACATGTAAAGTTTGTAATGCTTTTATACCAATGAGGTTCGACTTCTAATGCTGACAATGCTAGTACTGGATCTGTGTGTCAGATGCTAAGCAAAAACACATATTTCCTTTTAGGTATTCAGTTTATTTTACTGACAAAGCAGCAAATAAGGGTAGCATAAAAAAGAGATCTCCCAAATCTGGAAACCCAGCAGTTATTCTCATTTTGGATCCAACTATCTCAGGGTGGGATCATTACTAACAGTTTGACAGTTCCCTAACAATGTAGCCACGTCGCTCTGCGTAATTTGGTGTTTATGCTGTCCATCTCAGAGGAGAGGCAGACTCTCAACTATAAAGGGAGGAAAAAAGCTTTTAACAGTCTCTCTGTTTGGTATTTACAGTATTTTCCACACACACATGGCCATGTTTTATTAGAACAAAGATGGAAAGAGAGAAACAGAAGACTCCTTATAGTTTGAACCTGAACCCTGACTGGACCTCACATGAAACAAAGGTGGGGGAAAAATAGAAACCAGGGAAGAGAATGAGATGAGCCAGCCTTGCTCCACAACCCGGTCTGACTGTGTGTCTGACTGCATGGCTCGAGTCATTTCCAGGCTCTTTCTACTGCAGCTGACAGTTAAAGAAGCCCAGACGGCAGCTTGTTGGATGCTGCGTGTATGTTGTGGTGCCGGTGCATTCCACTTCTGCTGGTAAACTTGAACATCTGCATCATTCTGCAGCCATCGGCGGAGGCTGACTTTTTATAACGAGAGTGTAAACAGCCTGAAAAGAGCCTCGCTGACACTGACACTACTTATTTAAATTGCATCAAAAGGGAAACGGTCAATTTGAGCTCTCCCCGAATGACTTAAAGTGGCGTCAATTGGGGTTTGCAACCCAACCGTAGACACAAATTTTGTTCCCCGCTATGTTTAATAGCTATGACAGTCCAATAACAGACCTGCTGCCGATGTATTTATTCTTATAATTCTTGCTAAACTCTGGTTTATTTCTTCTGCTCAAATTAATACATTTCACTGATGCTTCTATTTCTTTCTTTCTTTACTTCTGCTTTGTTCATCTCCTGGTGGAACTTGATACGTCTTGCATCCTGGTCAGAGCAGGAAAAGGTTGTTTGTTTGGTCAGTGAAGCTAACTGATCGTGACAATCGCCCTCTGTCTGTCCGGAGACACTTTTAGACACACTCAAATGGACAAAACTTTTTTTTGGCCTGTTTGCCCCACTGGCTGTTTCCCTCTCATGCTGTGTCAGTGTTATGAGGAAGCTCCTGCGGGGCAACTGGAACAGAGGGCCTCAGTATTGGGGGATTATCCCAGATAGGTGCCCTTGAATTGGTGTAACTTGACCCCCCCTTCTACATCAGTCATGCAAAAAAACTCTTTTTTCTTCAGTTTAACAACAGGCTTTAATACATATATCACATATTCTCTTACATATTACTGACCACTGCTGCTTTAAATTTGGATGTTTCCCCTTTTTTAAACAATGGTCTGATAAGTTATTAGAAAGAAACTTTTTTTTTTTTTTTTTTTTTGGAGGTAAGGATTATTTTACAATGTGTTGCCGAGCTCAGGCTTGCATTTCAGTCAAACTACACCTAACCACCGAAGTCCTACGTGCTCTGCAGCACTGTCATTATGCTCACGACACAGCCTTCGCCCCTGCTCTGCTCTGAGAGGGTGAAACCACAGCAGGATATAATTACCACAATGAAACAAACCCATATTTTGGGAAGTCGGAGGATTTGTCACCGTTTTTACTCATTGTGAGGTTTTAAAACTGCCGTTAAAACTTTTTTAACAGCAGGGTTTTTTTTTTTTTAACCTTGAGTCAGTGCTAGTATCAGTAACAAAGCGATACCAAGCAGACAGTACTGACTCATCAGCCTCTTTGTTTCACTCCCAGTCTGCACATTGTGTCTTTTCAGGACACATGATAAACTCAGCAAGTGGGCTTTAACCTGGGGATACTAAGATAGAAATAAAAAGTGCCCCAGAGCGTTTACTAAGATACAACCTCACTTCACATTTAGCTACTGACTGTCTGTGTGCTGTCACTGAGACTCAGATTCACTGTTCCTATTGGCCACTTAGAGCAACGCAGAGGTTTATGGTAATAAACTAAGGTCCATAAACAGGTCCATTATTCAAATAAGTAACTTTTTTAACCTTTAGTTAAAACACAAAACACAAAAGTCCATGATAATTAACATGGGACACAAGGTGAGATACTCACTGGACATCTGATGTGTTCACTACTAGACACCGACCAACGACTCATTAATGCGTATGATTTTGTTAAAAGAAAAGCCAGAACAGAAGAACCTTCAAATGTCACACAGGAAATCAATTTACGGTCACATGAAGCGTTGAATTACTTTCCCTGAGGCCACGTCTCAACAGTTCAGTGTTGTATTTTCATTCATTTTTTTTTAGTGTCATTACACGTTTGTCTTCCTCTTGTTAAAGTATCTTTTTCTTTAACAGCTTTTACCCGCGGTTGAAGTAAAATGGTGTGTTTTCTTAAAATTCCAAACCACAATCAAAAGGTTACAAAAGGTTAAGTCTTTGTGTTGGGTATGACTACTCCAGTTCACAGGCACAAATTTCCCCCTGTGCCTAATGAAAACCTTGTGATGGTTCTGCTGAGTGGTGGTTCCCTCCTATGGTAGACGGTGAATAACAGATGTTCACGTTCCCATGAAACTACACCATAAAACGTGTGTTGTTTTACTTGGTGACAAACCACAACACACGGTACAGAGAGATGGAAACTTGTGTTGCCATCCCTCTGTACGGTCGAAGTGGGCTAACTGTGTACTGCCTGGAGTGAGTGTGTACTAACCTGGGGTACCTGTGTACTGACTGGGGTACCTGTGTACTGACTGGGGTACCTGTGTACTGACTGGGGTACCTGTGTACCAACTGGGGTAACTGTGTAGCCACTGGTGTACAGATAGCATCACATGGAAGATTTAAGTTGACTGAACTGAGAAGTGTGCTTACGCATCTTCATGTAGTCTAATGAAGTAAACCGGAGATTTCTTAGGTTTTTAGAGAAAGCAAGAAAAAGTAAAGTGAAGTAATCTGGCAAAATGATACACTGATTATCTGCAGTGATGCATTTGGTTTTAACAAATGAAAAGTCACAGATAGACACAACAACAAACATTATACCGCCACATGACATGTCCACCACAAAGCTTGAAATGTTTCTCTCACCTGACACAGGATGCTGCGTATGTATTTGCCACACGTGACGTAACCCGAATGGTCAAAGTTTTCCATGATGCTGTAGAAGCTCTTTGAAATCTCTTCATCCTTCTCCAGATCACAGCATCCAAACTTGGAGTACTCTTTGCAAAATGCCAATGGCTGCCGGGGTTCGAACGGGGGCTTGTAGTCCAAACACTGAGGGTGACAGTTCCCCCACCAGGACTGGAGGAGCAACAACAGCAGCACATGCACGAGGTTGTGCTGCACCTTGCACTGGGGGACGGGATGAAAGATCTGCAGAGTCATAGTGTGGTGATGGGTTTTTTTTTTTCCCTGTTGTTGATGCAAAAAACGTTTCAGTCTGAGCAGTTTGTAGGCGATGCTTTAGAAATTTGTGTTGGCAGAAAAACAACTACACTGTATGCGTTACATTTCCACCAGTGCTAATCCAGCAAACTTGAGGGTAAATTCTCTCCAGGGCTGTACCAGTTTGCTGGTCCTCATCTGACCGTCTGGTCCTTGCGGTGTCAGACAGCCTTGTGTGCACAAGTGTGAATGTGTGTCTGCATCAAACACACTGATGTAGCATCACACTTGTCTGTGATTGGTCCACAGACCAACAAAGCTCTCAGGACTCTGCCGGTTAAAAGCACAACCCACACACATCAGTCCTGCAGGACGATCGAGACACCGAACCTGATGAATTCTCCTGACCATAGGTCTCCAAGAGCACAATCCAGATTCTGAAAGGTCTTCAGATATTCACAAAATCATTTTCTGGAGGGAAAGCCGTCCTGGTGGAAGAGTGGTCACATGTTCTTTCTCGGAAGAAATCCAGCTTCTTTTACCCATATAAGACGGAAAGAGAAAGATGCACCTTTGGCCGTAGCTTGTGTGAAATTTTTCCCTTCTGGCCGGCAAACATCGGCTTACGGTTTCAGCTTGAAGTGAGTGTTTGCTCTGGACATGTGCTCACTTGCTGCTGCTGCTGCGTACTTAAGCACAGCGACAGACAGACAAGACAGAGAGAGGTTCTTTCATTCAGACACAGAGCCACGCTGCAACCTCCGTTTAACTCCCTCCCTCCCTCCTTCCTTATTTCCTCTTCTCCGCCTCTCTCTTCTTTCCTTCTCGGTGTCCTACAAAGACACATGCATTCCTTCCCATAGCATGTGGTCTATATTGCCCTGAAGTTGCAACTCCCCCACCCCCTGTCCTCCCACTGGGCTCCCTCTCCACCTTCAGCATTCTCAGACCTCCTTCAAGTCTCTGCCATTTCCAGGCTGAGTCTCACTACCACTGCACACGCTCGTGCACGTGTGTTTGTGTTTGTGTGTGCGGTCGCATGAACCAAGACGTGTGTTGGAAGAAGAGGCCAATGGATTCTCCAGGCACCATTCACAGTCATATGTTAAAGAGAAGAACCAGCCAAAGTTTAATTACATCGCTTCAACTTGTACTAGCTTATTATCTTCCTCGTGCACAACACATGGAAAGAATCAGGGTGTCGGCTGTTAAGTGAGCTCACTTTCAAGATCATCATTATCTCAAAGATTTAGTGAAGAGGTTCCATTTATACCTAATTAGCCAGGTTACATCGCTTTTTTTTTTTTTGTGATCATTTAAAGGTAAATAATTATCTTATTTTTCCATCTTTTTCAAGAAAAGGCTTAGGAGCAAAAGTAAAGTGTTTTTTTATAGCAATATAATAATATTTATGTGATGTGTGCGGCTCTTTGCTGACTATTTCAATTTACCCTCAACACATTTGCAGCACAGTTTTGCTCCGACAATCCAGAATAAAAATAGTAGTAAAAAGGGGAAACTGTAAAGACTATAATCTGATGAACTCTAATAAGCTGCAGCTGAAGGCGGTGAGACGCAATTTTTTTTCAACACAAATTGCAAGATATGTCCTTTTCTTAGAAAATGTGTGTGTGTGTGTATTCCTAGTTTAGCTGTGTAATACTAGCAGGGACAAAAAAAGCTGCAATCTTGTAGGGATATTTTAGAGGTCTCTACCAAGTCAGTGAATTTTTCAAGGTTTACAATTTGATTGTCTGTTAGGAATAAAGTTAGATGGATGAGAGGTGCTCTCGAAACACAAAAACCACTGTGTGTGTGTGCGTGGGTGCATGTGTGTGAGACTGCTTCCAGCTGGTTCTTGTTAATGTCCTGTCACCTTTCGGATCAGACTTTGACTCCCATCTGGACGAGTCCTGATTCCCAGACACTTCATCACTCATGCACTCATCCTCAGAGTCAGAATATTTAGCCAGACGCTCTGTGCAGCGCTAAACACATAAACAGCCTCTTCGTCACACGACACAACCTCATTCCAGTCCATATAGGTTTAATTAATAAATGGAAAACAGACGTGTGCATTAACGCCCTTTGATTCGAAAGTTTGGCTTCTGCAAATACCACATTCACTCATACATCATTGTGGAGGATGTGGATGTCATGTGAACGAAAAGTGAAAACTGAAGAATGGCATTTTGTCTTAAACAATTTATCATAGTGAGGTCCTTTTCAATAGGTAAAGAAAAATTTGAAAAATAGGTCAAAACAGGGATTAATTTAGGGTCTATTGCAGTGATTATCAACTGGTGGCCTGCGGGCCAAATCCATCCCACTGAATCGTGTAATCCGGTCCATGACTGGAGAAGAGAAAATAATGTGTCATCCCCACTCTTAAAGCCAAATTGAAAATCATTTACCATGCTTTAAGACAAAAAAGTGATTTTCTTTTAGGGTTTTTTTGGGTTTTTTTTTTATTTGAGTGTCCAAGGTGTCTGTCCAGAAAAACTCTCGCCCTCCAACAAATTTACAGTAGTTGGTGACTCCTTGTCTAGGGCATGGTCCAGCTGTCAATCTCTCTTCCATGCTAATTGTCACAGTTAAGCTTAAAAACATGTGTCAAAGCTAAGGCTAACAAACCGATATTAACCTCAGTAGCTGTGGATTAATCATGATAACTTGTGATGAATTATATATTTATGTATTGCTCAAGTTGTGACAATTGTGTCAGTCAGTTAGTTAGCCTTAAGACTGCAAATGACACATGTTCTGACTAAATTATTTAATTTCAATGGCTGTTAAAGACATTTTTAATATATTTTTTAACAAATATTTTACTGGGTCACATATGGGTGAATTGCCAGAATCTTTTTTTTTTTTCTTTTTACTGTAGAAAACCATATTGTTCAGGCTGTGAGACCTGTATAGTGTTACGACATCGTTCTGCTGAGTCAGACAGTGTTTAAACTCAGCTCGTAAAGTTAAAAGTGCTGACCTGCAACATCACTACCACTGAGTCATTCTTAACTGGGAAAGACAAACATTCACATGTGCGATCCCAGCGACCGAACACTGAGGATCTTAGGCTCAGCAGTGTACCTTTATTCTTTTATTGTTCTACAAAGTAAATGAAGAGCTTTTAGTGTTAATCTCACCGTTAAACACACACACACACACACACACACACACCTCCCTTATATGGACTGTGCAGACAAGAGATATTTTTACTTTGTTTGTTTTCAAAGCCAACATACTGTGGAAGTGATACACATAAAAAAAACAAAATCACTCTATTCTTATGTTCGTTAAGCTCAATTTGACTTTTCAATCTGGCCTCTGTGTTTCTGGGATTTAGTGAGTGGGAGTTCTTTGTCTTCTCACTGATTTGCTGAAGTGACATTGACCTGCCAAGGTGATGTTTGGTGAGAGATTGCCAAGGAAAACTTAGAATGGGAGAGAAATAATAGATGACATCATTGTTCTACTCTTTCACCATATATAGGCATTTGCAGGACTGCTGTAGTTCTTAATGAAAACACTATGCTCTGTCTGGGTGTGTGTATGTGTGTGTGTCTGCTTTTGGTTTGTGTTTTGCCCCCTTAATGCCCAGGTTTTCAAAGTCAAATGATCAATCAGAGTTTAGAGAAACCTGAGCAAAAATGTAAGCTTCAGAATAACTAAGTGTATGCTTTAGGAATCGGACGTTTTTGCACCGTCATCAAATGTCACATGATGCCATTTCTGCGTTCTCCTAAACCCTCGGTGCTCCCTGGTGATTATGCAGGAGCTTTGGTTCTGACTGAGGAAGACTTTCAATTAAACTGAGCAAACATCATCATAAATTCTTTTTTTTTTTGCACAGTATGAAGGCAGCTGCAGCAGTTTAAAACTGACCTTGGCTGAAAATGAAAGTGAAGTCAGAGAAGGTCGTCACTGACCGTTGTTGACATTGATTCGTCTCCAGGACGTTTAACCAAAATCACTGTCTTATGCGCTGGTCATCTGAAACTATAGTCTTGAGATGTGTGAATGATAACGTTAGGAGAACGAACTCGCTGACACGCAATCGTAAAGATTCTTAAAGCATCTTTACTTTTTTGATGGAATGTGTTTAACCAGTTAGTTTTTATTTCATTTTAACGTTTAATGTAACACCATACAGTATATGACACCGTATAGAAGGTTAGATTAGATTAGATTAGATTAGATTATTAATGTCCGATAATATTGGCCAACCGGTTATTACCGAATATTTCCCCAAAATTAGCATAATTGTGTAACATCTTCATCTTCAATGTCAATTTCTCCTACTTAAATTCCATAACCACCAGGCCACCACTACCTCAGAAAAAAAAAAAAAAAGTTAATATCAGACATCCCTAAATTAGATTACATTACATTACATGTCTGTGTAGGTTCCCAGTCATCCAGGTCATCATGGACAGAACAAGAGCAAAACCTACTGGACGGAGTAGGTTTCTTGAAGACGTTTCACCTCTCAAAGAGGCTGCATACCCTGCATAAGAAGCCTCTTTGAGGCCAAATACCAGAACTTCCCAGTAGTCAGTCAGAACTGAAGAAGCCTCTTGGACGAGAGGTGTAACGTCTTCAAGAATCCTACTCCGTCCAGTTGCCCTCGATGTAACTATTTTTGGATGCATTACATTACATTACACTAGACTAGACTAGGTTTGATTAGTTTGATCCATCTCGATTTGGATCGTTATACAGTGGAACCTCTGTTGTTGAACTTTTCGAAACAATTCGGTTCACAAACAAAATCTTTAACCAAAAATTGCCCCCATTGTCGAGTGTGTGGCGTCAGTCTGCGCTTGGCATATACACGCCAAGAACTGTTGTCTGGATTTACTGGTATTTCTTTATTTGTTCAATTTTTTTATTTATTTATTTATGGGAAAAATAGTGAGAACAACAACAGAAGTTAATAAAGATTATATGAAAGCATCAGAATGGAGCTCGTGTTTCAGATCTGGCTTTACAGTATGGCTTAGCAAAGTCGTCGATTTGTGCCATCATTAAGAACAAGGAAGAAATAAAAGAAGCTAAGGTTGTCAAAGGAGTGACTGTGATCACCAAACAAAGATCTCAGACATTAGAAGAAGTGGAAAAGTTGCTATTGATTTGGATCAAAGAAAAGCAGTTGGTTGGCGGTAGTATTTTAGAGACAATAATTTGTGAGAAAGCGAAGAATTTGTGCAATCACGACTCCTTAGTATCAGTAAGGATGAATGGATTTGCTTTTCCTATTTATAGCTGTATTCGTTATTCAGTTGTGTTTATCTTGTTTGTTAGATCAAATTATTTTCATTGGTTTCGTGTATGAACCTGTACACAAAATACAGTTGGAAAAATTTGAATAAGCAATCATCCAGGGTCCAAGAACAGATTAATCCATTTTACATTGATTCCTATGGAGAAAATTGTTTCACCAAGTTTTTGGTTCAAGGACGGCCTTCAGGAACTAATTAAGTTTGACAACCGAGGTTCCACTGTAATTAGTCCGAAAGGCTGTGAGCTGCCTTAAAATTACTCTGAGGCCTTAACATAATTTACAGTTTATTTTGTTACAAATTTAAAGTCTTGTATATGCACCGTAGTGTTGGGCTGTGCTTGTTTTCAGTTAATATCTTATATTCAAGGCTTTTGTCCATCAACTTTTTCCTAGAAAATATTTTTTTCTTTTTTTTTTGTCTCACAGATTTGTAGTCAAGCTGCCCTGAGTCATTGTTATTATTTTATGATTTTATCATGAAGGGGTTTTGTTTATCAGTCCTTTGTCCCTAACATGCTCTGAGCCAACGGCAACTACCCTGACCTCTGACATAGATTGAAAAATAAATAAAAAATCTTCCTTGAACCAGGCTTTTATTTTATAATATGAGCTTATCTTTGTTATTTTTTATTATAGTATCTTGTTTCTTTTAAGGCAGGTCTTATTTAAGTAATTTGTATTACTAATTTGAATGTGTGAGGGATTTTATTTAAACAGGAGGTGTTTTGTTAAGGACTGTGTGTTTTAGTTTTCCTAGGAAATGTTCTTAAAACAAACGTTTCTGATAGCAGTGTCTCCACTCTAATGACCTTAGTGACAGGACATCTACATTTCTCAACCTTTGTTTCAGGTCACAGTAACTATTGAACTGAGTGTTGATCTAAACCGTTTCATTTTGGTAAGAGATTGCAGTTATATGTTTCAAATTACAACTGTCTTTTTTTTTTAGTGAGAATAAAGTAAAAGACTTTCAGTTATCAGTTACAGCTGCTTATATTTTCTGCACTCTCTTTTTGTCCTTATTTCCCTTTGCATTGCAACAGTGCTTTTCAACCTTGGGGTTACAACCCCATGTGGGGTCACCTGGAATCAAATGTGGTCACCTGAAATTTGTAGTAATTAAAAAAATTACTAAAAAATATATTTTCAACTATTATTATCCTAACAACTGCATTCTTTCACTTACAAGTTCAAATACAATGCAGTTTATATATAAATATTTTGAGGTGGTGTGTTTTGATTGAAAGCTGCCATCACATGACAAGTTCTCCTAATTGCACGTGATCAGGGAAAATAAAATGTCACTTTGTGCACCAGTGTGACGACTCTGTATTTGCAACATGATTAAAAACAAATTCTAGAAAGAAAGAAAAAAGATCTATGATTGCCAGAAATTTGTGATGTGAAAATGGGGTCACGAGCCAAAAATGGTTGGGAACCACTGATCTACAAAGTCACCTTTGACTTAGATGACACACACAGAATTCTTTTCTGTTCATCATCTCAGGTGACTCACCTCCCCCCTTCAGCTCATTTAGGCTCTGTTGTCTCCCCCGGCTGAAGCTGGAGTCAGCGTCTGCCTCAGTGATGGGATGTGCTCTCATTGTCAGGGACACGCTTCCCCTGTGGGACACCATGAGAGGAGGCAGAAATAGTGAAAACCCAAACAGGAAGTCTGGGCTGGGTGAGCGGGCCGTGTGCCTCGGCTCACCGTTCTGTAGAGAGTTGACGGGAAGGTCTTCAAAACCTTGACCTTTTACTGGGAGATGGTGGGGTTGATGTGCAAACACGTGTACAGAAAAGTCAGACATGTGCAGCAGGTTGGGTGATGAGTTTTTAAAAACGCATGATTTCACATGGTAGCATTAGATTGAAAAATGTCAACCAACCGGTTTGAGGAAAATAGTTAGTTTGATGAAGGATAAGACTGTAATATGTTACATCTCAGGCTGCTAATTATTATTTTTTAAATTTTTTGAACTTTTTTGATACCACACTGAGGAAAATCTTGTTGACTGCAGATGTGATGCAACAGGCTCCCTCTTGGTGGCGCCATGTATGTGGTTCCTCTGCGAATCGAACGTAGGACTCTGCTCTCTGCTTGGAGGGCAGGTGTGTTAACTGGTACACAATGGAACCACCATTTTGTGGAACATTTTCTGCAGATGGCCTGCACTGAGTAATTTGATTAATTTTCTGCTTTTTTTTTTTAATTGTAGTCATTTTTTGTGATTAATTGTGCTTAAACATGATTAATCTGGATTTTTTTTTTCTGCAGTTTTTATTTTGTGACTATTCCAAATGATGGAATCATTGAAATGTTGTTGTTGGAGTTGTTGGATTTCAGTCAGTTTGTGGCTTTTGGAACACATTGTGCTTTGTTGAAGGCCTTGTCCTCAACTATGTTTATCACAGTCTACAGTCCTTCACAGCCCAGTTGACAATTGTGTCAGTTTGTCAGGTGTAGACTGTCTTGCCACTCTGTGCTCAGTGAGGCTGCTCTGATGCTGTCTAAAAAAAAAACAAAAAAAAAAGCTTGGCGAGCGATTGTGTTTCAGGCTCTGGGGAAGGTTTGGTGAAGGGAAAAGATTGTTCACACAGTCTGTGTAAATGCCCACGTGTTCATCAACTTCAGAGCAACAATATGGCAATGATATAAAAATGGACGGTGGATTTGTTGGACGGAATTGTTGTCTTCATTTTATTTGTCATTGATTGTTGCGAGGAATTTAACCCAATTATATGTTCGTTTATTTATTTATGTTAATTATTTATTGTGCATTCAGCCAGATTTTTGGAACAAGAATTTTTTTTTTTAAAGTTAAAGGTTTCTATATCGTCCGATTGTGACAACAGATCGAACTGTGATCCCGTCTAATCCTTGTTCTGAATCTGACCTCAGCTAAACCCACGGCACTGAGTGCGTGTGTGTGTGTGCGTGTGTGTGTGTGATTGTAAGGCTTTATATAACACCGGCTGATCTGGCACGACCAACTGACCAATGGCAAAACATGGTACTGTCAAGCAGAAGAAACAGGGCGAAATTAAAGAAACATTTTGGCGTCATTCATTTTGAAGGTTTTTCTAAATAATTTGTACGGCAGGAATTGTGTATTATTAAGTACTTTTATACGTTATTTTAAAAGCAATCGTTACCACGATATGTTATAACTTTCAATTAGTTCATCCTTCGATCATTTTGTGGTGAGGTGTGGTGAGTTTATTTTAAACAAATCCAGGGTCATAGTCAAGTGCAGTTTCTTAAATCGACCACATGGGCACCTGCCCAGGAATGTTGCTGTGGTGTGGCACAGGCGAATAGCAAAAAATAAAGAAATAAATAAAATAGAATTTATAGGCTACCGTACATTACAATCAGTTATCTATCACTAATGCGGCCAGGGGCTGCCTGTTATATGCATACCATAGTTTGAGAACCGCCATCGTATATTACTATTTATATTTTTTTATTTTGTATGTTAACTGTAGCTTGATTGTGGATTGACTGACTCAAATTGTAGGTCACTTTGGATAAAAGTGTCTGCTAAATGTATTGTAATGTAAATAAGTTGTAAATGCAACCATCTTAACACAAGAAAACAATGATATAGATGGAGGGACAACATTTTATTGACATTGTTTACAACAAGTGTTCTTTACAACACTGGAATACAGGTTAGAAATATATGTGCTGGTAAGAAACCTGCTGGTTTGTCTAGTTAATCACACAACAGAGAGGAATATATATACACATCATTAACCGTCTGCGTGCGGTTTAAATATTATTAAAAAGGTGAACTTAAATACAACAGATTTCAGGTGTTTGGTTGGAGATTTTTTTTTTAAACTTGAATGGAATGTAGTTCTGTCCATAGTTCCAGACAAACACTTCCTCACATAAAACCTCACTCTTTAAAATCCCATCGTCCTGAGTTTAAAATAAAGCCATTTTACATTGTCGTATCCCAGGATATACAAGCTTCCCGGCAGTGATTTTTTTTTGTTTACTCCGGTCGTGTCAGAAGGCACAGGCACAGACCACAGCCACCACCACTATGTTGCCGATAGTTGCCAGCACAGCAATCCACAGCCAAATGGTGTCGCTGGACACTTTCCCATCGTCCTCGGTGTCTGACGGTCGAGAATAGCCGGCGTTGAGGTTTGAGGAAGACGTCTGCAGGGACATGTTGCCATTGTATGGAGAATCCATGAAGGCCCCACAGACAGCTGGGAAATGCTGTTAGAGGGAAAGGGAAGAGAACAGATTGAAAGACGTGGATTAGATGTTGATTCACTAGAATTAACTGAAAACAACCAGATAAAATGTTAAATATGTGAGAGCACTTTTAGAAGAATATGATTCTCTATTTTCAAACAAGAACAATCTATATTTAAGGAACTGATCAACTGGAAGAGTAAGTCCCCAAAGGAAGTTGCAAAAATAAAGTTTGAATGTAAAAAAAACATACTAGTTTTAAGACAAATTGAAAAAGAAAAAAAACAATCTGGTGGAACGAGACTAAAACCTTCAAGATTTCCATTCAAAATAATCTGCTCTTTCCACTGTTTATTTTTTAGGATTGAAAAACCTGATCAAATAACACAGCTCAACACTTGACAAAGATATGATGATAAAACTTGGGAGATATGTCCCAAAATGTTGTTAAAATCATACACATTTTTTTATTTTTTATTTTTTATTTATTTTTACTTTCTGAGTAACCCCTCGTAAATAAACTCTCTTAGGTTGTACTGGGTGACGGTCCGGGCGGAAACAATCCCCAGAAATGCAAATAAAATGTTCCAAAAGTGATTGATTTAAATCTCTTTGGAGCAAATACCGCCAACAACGTTTCCACCCCAACAATACCGGCCCCTCGACTTTTAAATCCCACAGATCAGTAAGAGGATCAGTTTCATTATGTAACACCAGTCGTGAACATCTGTCTCATCCCACCCTCTGAGACTAAAGTGCCTGTGTGTTTCTTCTACATTCAGAAAGCTTCAAGTCTGCGATCTTAAAGACACGGCAGCATAATTTATGAACGCCGCCCTCTACATCTTCCTCTAAATATGTATATTTAATTAAAAACTGTCTCTAATGGGTTTTCCGGAGGGAAGAGAACCGGGGGATGAGAGTGAGTGCGAAGCCGATCCCTTCTTTATATTCATGCGTTATGGCGTAATGCGAGCACGGCCTGCTTTTGCACACTATTAAAATTAAAATAAAAAAAATAATTTAACTTGTAGACTTCCAGCAGGGGGTAGCGTTCCTTTTGGTACACAGTAGCTCTGCAGCAACAAAAAAAAAAAAAAGACTGACATGCGTGATCTGGAGAGTGTGAACTGTGAGATTGTTAGATGATGTAACTGGTTGTGTAAAAGGGAATAATATACTTTGGGTTTAAAATGCGGTGCAGCTTCACTTCATATTAATCTCAGTGGTAATCTGGCCTGTTACTCATGTGTGTTACTCATATATACTTATGTGTTATTACAGTTGTTTCTTGTTGTCTGCTTATTTGATGTGACTTGTTTTAGAATTTTTCTTCTAGTCTTCCAACTCAACTGCTTCCATTCAGGGTAAAACTAAAGAACATGTCAAAAGAGATACAGCAGTCTGTACATGCAGTAAGTGTTCTTAGAACCTCCTTTAGAATCTGCTTCAACACCATACACCAGTGATGAAACTTTTAAAATTTCGTTGCATTTCCTGCTGTTTTTTTAAGATGTCCTCATGGTCACTGATGACACGTATATTTTAAAATACTAATTTACAGAGTTCAGTTCAGTTTTTCTAGAGCTATAGTACATTTCCAATTTAAATCCAACATTCACCCAAAATCCCATTCCCAAACAGGAGGAACAGTATCCTGTGTTAAAATGGAAGCAAATCGTTATGTAGATTACTGCAGAAGGCGACCCCTGAAGGGGGAAGGTCAACTTCTCAAAAGTCAAAGATGAAGTAATGATCCTGTGATCATGTCAAGTTAATTTCAGATCAAGAAACCTTAATTTGAATAGACAAATAAATAAATCCTCAATGGATTTATAATGTTTAAAAATGTGAATTTATTTTTAAAAAGTACTAAAAATAATAAAGAAGTTACCCCCTTCCCCTAAAATACAACGAAATATAATATAATAATGTATTATATTGATTTAATTTGAACCATGCTTAGAAATGTATGTTATAAAAGCACAATTTATTAACTGTTTATATTTGTCAAATATAAAAAGGAGCCTTTAACCATTTTCTTAAAAGGTTAAAGGTCACAGACAGATGCTGAAACTATGAGTCGTTGTTCTTCCATTTCTTCTAATTCACTGAATTAGACTGAACATCAACTGTCAAACTCTCAGGTTTATCCAAAAACCCTTCAGGTCATCTCTGCTGTCAGCCTTATGCACGTGCTCACGCTGTGGGAGATACCGCGGTGACGAGTGAGTGAGAACGAATGAGAAAGAAAGGAAAATAAAATCATGAAGTCATGTGTGAAAAGTCAACACACGACCTACCTAGTCCTGAAGCACGATGGAAACGGCAACAAACTGTACACAGGCGATTAGCTTGATCTAAAAGACGGCACTTTGCCCTCAAAGATTAAATCAATCAACGTGTTAAAGATGAATGATTTAAAAATAAAAAACAGAAAGAGAGAGAGAGAGATCATGTACCTGCTGCCAGCTGTTTATGATGTACGAGATCAGCTTCAGTCTGCCCCGTCCAACACTCTGACAAAGACTGAAGCAGATCCGGTGAGAGAGAGAAGAATAAAGAGAACAAGGGAGAAATAGAGGGGGAGAGAGAGAGAGAGAGAGAAATAGAGGGAGAGAGAGTGAAGAGATTCAGTGGTTTGCAAAGTGGGGGGGCGGGCCCACTGAGGGGGTCCTGAGCTATTGTGAAGGGTTGGGGGGAGATGACGGGGCGGGAAGACAAATTAATTTTAATGTCAATATGACAATGGTTTTACAGAGCGCTACAGAAAAGGTTTTTCAAATAGAACACTGAGTTAGGTTAGTCCAGTACTTCTCAAATAGTGGGGCGGGACCCCCTGGTGGGGCATGGTGAGGTGCCAGAGGGGCCGTGAGGGGCTTCCAGTGGAATATGGCACGCTGGACATAAGTGTACCACTGCTGTAATACAGGAATGATAACAAGCCTCCAGTCACTAGGGGGCAGTAACTCATACAGTGGTTTGTACAGATGTAAATATACACGTTATCAGGTTCTAAATAGTATTTGAATTTGTGCGTGAAGGCGGGGCATGACAGAAAATAATTCAGAACCACTGTGTTAGTCCTTGGAGTGGATATTACACACATGTAAACAAAGTACACACACCAGTACTACATGCATTGGTAAACACACAACATGTGCGGGTTTTGCTTGCAATATAAAACATTTCAATGTGGCTGTCTCTGTGTGTGCAAAGACAGAATTTCTCTCATCAAGTTCTATGTGTAAATCCATTAATCCTAATCTCAGGATTATAGAAATTGTGTTGATATTTAAAGCGCACCACGTGTTTATCTAGTCATCAGTTATTCATATAAAAAAGATTTTTTCCAAACTTTTTCTGGAGCCCCCCCCCTTTCCCCTTTTTGTACACAGTGCTATTGCCCAGCCCCCACACATCCCTTCAAAACTCCACTGAACTTTATTTAAAACATTGTAATTCCTACCGGATTCCTATTCTCATTAAAAGAAAAAAAGAAAAACAACTAACATATCAAAGTCATTCCCCACTGTGGCAAGAAAAAAATAATCATTTATGGATAACTGACAAGCTTTAAAGTAAATATGCCTGGAGCGTGCTTCATGCCTGTCGTCTATTTTCAACTAAACAGGAATTTCAAAGGCAAGACTCCATGGTCTTTCTCATAATGTCACCCTTCCCCCAATGATTTATTCTTTTTATCTAAGCATGTCCTTATACTATGTATCTCTTTGCTTTCATGTTAAATTATTCAGTGAATCAGGCATTTATTATGCCTCCTTTTTTACTTATTTTTTTTATTTTTATTTTTACCGTCGCTCGTCTTCACCCGCCACTCTGCCTGAACCTGCATTTTGTTTATCTCATCCTTGTTCCTCTCACTTCTTTCACGGATTTCTCCATTAATCCTCACGTTGTATCACCATCCCCACAACATCTACTGATTACAGACAGGACATCTGAGGATGTCGTGCAGCGCTGCAGGTCTGTTGGGATTACAGAGCAGGCGAACAAACACAGTTTCAATTCTTCAAATCTCTGTATAGGAGAATAATGAAGAAAAAAAACTCTTTGATGCGTGATGTACTGAGCGCACAGCCCAGCTTTGTGTACGATGATACGTGGGCATATGTTACTGTTTCCTGTGCCCATCTGTGAGTGAGAGTGTGTGTGTGTGTCCTCTGGGGCAGAAACACACGTGTGCAGTAAAACACGTTGATGAGTCACTACAAGCGTAAACACAAAGCGAGTCTGTGATTGTGTTACAGTTTAATGTAAAAAAAAAAGAAAGAAAAAAGAAAGAAATGTTTTATGGAAGAACATTAAAAACATTTAAATCTGGCGAGGAAGGAGTTAATAGAAACTTCGCAGTGTTTACTTCAGTTTTTAGTCATTGTGGGTAAATGATTGTGCTTGATTTTAAATGCCCTACATTTGTCTCTTTGAAAAATGGGCACAACGTAAAGTCGAGGTGAGCAATTGTTCCTCCATCTGTAACTGCTTTATTATTAAAACGCAGATGAAAAGGAAAGAGAGCAGGACAACGAGGAAGAAAAGGCAGGTTGAATAAACAGCCCCACAGCAGCCAGCTGTTCTCCTCTTTCTGGAGCATCTGTCGCAGGAGGAGATTCAGCAGCATTAACAAATACAAAACGAAGTGAAGACGATAGAGTTTCAGAGAGTTACCACAGCAGCCGTTCTGACCTTGGTTTCCATGGTCTGCTGAAGCAGGAAGAATTAAACACCCAACGATATCGCATGAAGTTGCAGAGTAGAACATTTAGTACAGTACAGGTCGAGTACTTCAGCTTGAGAACGCGCATGGGTGGTCTAGAGTAAACCACTGGCGTCAAACTAAAACTGCATGATACAAATCTTTTTAATTTAAAATATATATACTAAAAGTATTAAGTTTAATTTAAAAATAAATTTAATTAAAAAAAAAACTCTACCTCTTATCTATGTCAATATCGTTCTACCTCCAGAGTTAAATCTAACTTACTCTGTAGTTATATCTGATTAACTTATATATATCTTGATTGGGGATATCCGATATTAACTTTTTGCTGATATCTGATGCGCAGATATTGTCCAAACAATGTCCGATTCCAATATTAACCGATACCGATATACATACAGTAGGTGTGGTAATATTTATGTATTTACCTGTACAAACTACTGTATGAGTATGAGATTAATTAAATGAGCTGCAATGGTGCCATCTAGTGACTTTTACTTTAATATGCATCCGTTTATCCCCAAAACTATTTTTAGGGCACACATCATTTGGTGAAAGCAAGGCATTGCGTTAGCAGGTTTTCATTATCAGAGGCAAAAAACAATAACGATTCTTACAGATATTACATAATTATGCTAATATCGGGCGGCCGATATTATCGGACATCCCTAATCTTGATAACTCTATGGTCATATCTTGTTAACTCTGTTGTATCTTAAGCACCATTGGTCAGTTATTCATTAAAACCAGTTCATATAATGACTTTTAGTACTTTTATCTTTAAGGCGTTTGGAGCAAGTTTATTTCAAGTTCAGAATCTATAACGAAGTGATGACTTGCCTTTCGGTAATGGATGTCAAGCAAACTGAGTGAAAAACAGATGATAATCATTTCCAACTTATTGAGCTGTGCAATGAAAAGACAACACTGCTGTTCCAACATGTCTGGAGGGCACGTTGGTCCTTTGACTGCAGGAAAGACGAGGAAAAGATAGAAACCAGAGAGGCACATGTGACATTCTTCTATTGGCAGCGGGGCTTATTTTCTTTTCTTATTGTAGAACAAGAGGAACATTTGAGTTTTTTCTGCATGGACACTTAACAAACTTCTCAACATCTTAACTTTTTTTTAAGTCTCACTTAATGTCATTTGTATGTATGCAAAGCTAATTTAAACATGAGTTTAAATTTTTTATTTTGTGTCTTTATTTGCCATTTTATTCTTCATACTTTCCATGGTTATCGAACCACGTTATAATGTACCGCAGCACTGACTTACTGTCCGCTATGGTGTCCTTTACATAATCTGCACGTTGTGTGAGACTTTATGCAGATAATCCTAATCCCCAATGAAAAGAATGTCAACACAACCGTGACGCAGAGATAAATGCCGCTCTGTTTTCCTATTTCCCTGCGATATAATAATGTATTTCGCTGCGTCATGTAACTGCAGCTTAAACCTTGTGATTACATTTCAATGGAAATGAGATGTCGCCCTTTATCGAGAAAGGGGTGAAAGAATTTTTTTTATTTTTTTTTTAAGGTTTATAATAAGTGTGAAATGAAAACGCACACATTTCTCCGAAAACAGTTTTTAATTTCCAGGTAGAACTAGAGGTGAATGGCTGAGAGCAGCGGTGTAGTACTGTAACTGTTACTTCATCGTGTGTTGTGCCATGAATTAATAAAGAAAACACATTTTTTATTCTGTGCACGCCATCGGTGACTCACGCATAATAATATTAGATGAACCGTTATCAGTGGTTTTTACCTTTGTTTATAATGCTGCTCTTCATATAATCATATTCATATAATAATGGCAGACGGAGGCTGGGAGTGATCCAGACTGGTTTCTTATATTGATTAATGAAACCATAGAAAGAGATGTCGTTGTTGTACGGGTGATGACAGATTTCTGTGTTTAACTTTTCTCTTTGGTTATTCAGTTCAGTCCAGGTCGGTATGACTGCTGGATTAAGCTAAAGGCAGGACTGCGTTTTAACGGATACTCCCTCCTGAAGTGATGGATTAACCAGTTAACAGATGGTAATCTCACCCAACTATCCATCAAACACACTTGTACAGACAGGATTCATTAAGACCAATCTAACATTCATCTGCCGGGGAGAGTTGGCCAAGTAGAGAACTGAATTAATCAAAAAAAAGAAAGAAAAAAAAGGTCAGATACCAATGCGCCGGAATACATACAAATAAACATACAGCTATAGTAAAAAAAAAAAATGTAATAAGCTCATAAGTTAATGATCAAAAAGAAAAGAAAAAAAAACAGGTGGACAAACAAAAAATAGATTCACTTCTGCTTTCGTCACGACCGGGTCAAGACCAAAGATAAGACATTGATCGCTACGGGGCTACGGAGACAGTGATTAAAGAGCACACACTCAACACAGCTGATCATCTAATTACCTGTCAGAGAACAGATGGCTATCAGGTGACACTTTCCATTTGACTTCATTCACACAGCAAGAGGGTTATAATGATGAAACAAAAAGACAATCTAAATAGCTGCCATCGGTGTTGAGACTGCAGAATGAACCGAATTTTTATTCTTGTTCATTCGTAAATGAAATATTACATAATCCAGGAACGGCATTAAAATCTTTCTATTAAAATTTTTATTTTTTTGTTTTGTTTTAAACTATATAAATACTTGTATCTTGCCTTTGTATTCAATCTCTATACTGGAAATACAAAACCACGTACAGGGTAGGACAGGCATGGGCAAACTACAGTCCACCCGGTTGCGGCCCGCCAAATTTATCCAAATTATGTTATTTATTTATATTACCGTTATACCACTGCCATTTCCCTGCAATACCCACATTTCCCCAGTAGATTGTGTAGAAAAGGCTAAAAGCGATCTAGGATTTTAGCCTCTATGCTTGACTTTTACATGTCATTAATCTTAGTTCACATGAGCCTGTCAAATTTTTAGGACCCATTTTACCCAGCGAGTCAAAACGTTTGCCCATGCCTGGGGTAGGAGGATATTTTTCTTTTAATCTCTGACAAAACCAGCAGATGGCACAATCTTACACTTCAGCAGGCAGCTCACCGATCAGCTGAAAGACTGGGCGTTTTGGATGTGATGAATCTCTCACTTTCTTCCACCATTTCTGTCACATGACCTACTTACTTTTTGCTGTGACTGCAGCACAAAAGTAATCTGAGAGAATCTGAGTAGATGTGAATTAATTTCCATTATTTTTGTCCACTAATTACTTCATGTTAAGATCACTCCAGCCGTATGTTTTTTTTTTTGTTTGTTTGTTTGTTTGTTTGTTTTTTGGAACACTTTAATAATCCAGACTACATTATTCTGCACCACACAGAAAGACCTGGATTCAAAGAACAAAGCTCTGCCCGGGAGCTCTGCAGAGCTGAACATCAGAGGTCAGAGGAGACAGAGAGAAAATGAAACAGGAAGAAAATAGGACATGAATATATGCAACCAGTGCCATTAGAGTGACAGACGGGGGAAGCAGACGCAAATGCAATGATGAGTATAAAACATCAAATGAAACCCAAATTAAAATTCTAATCTAATAGAAAATGATTAAATGTCATGTTACTTTAAGACAAATATGACTCATAAGTTGACCTGTCAGTTATAGTGTGATATTAATTTTTTTAAATAATTTTCCCTTAGGCTCAGAGTGCTTTGTAAAACTAATGTGTTCCTTATGTGGTTACTTTAAAGTACACTTTATGGGATTTAGCGACATCTAGTGGTGAGATTTCATATTGCAGTTAAATATCCCACTCTTTACTAGTCCATGCAATTAGTTATTAGAACACCTTGTAGCCTCTAGTGACTAGATTAGATTAGATTAGATTTAATTGATCCTACACGTGGAAATTGTTGACAAAATGAAATCGGTGTCGGCCCAGAATCAAACCCGTAAACCTCAAGCATCGGTTTGAAAGGCAGCTATGTTATGCACTATAGCACCAATGTGATTAACAGGTATATGTTTTTGTCATTTGTACTAAGGGATCAAATAATATGGCATGCCATTCGATTTGTGAAGCCCTGCCCTTGATTTAAACCAGTGGTGTTTGCAACTGTAAGATGATGGTTTGAATCCAGAAGGGCTGTGATGATACATTTCTACCAAAAATATTGTTTAAGATTAACTGACTGACCCTGAAAACTGACAAAAGGCAAATCAGGATTATAGGTTCTGGCTCAATCTTACATTTACATCAGTGTAATTGTAAATGATGTAGATCAACATTCTTTTGGCCATAAATTATAACGTACAAAAATATTATGTTAAGAAAAACACAGACTGTGAACCATAAATATTAAGTTATTAATATTAAATCTAAAATCTGTCGGGAAAAAAAAATCATATTAGATAGATTACTTCCTTACCTGTGTTGCCATCAGTGATAATTCCATCACTCCTTGTTCACTGTTCTGAAGAAGTGGGTGTTCACAGAGGGAGGAAGTCTCTGTAAAAGTGAACTGCTGTCTTTGGATGTCACTGAACACTTTTTTATGCTTCTTTCCCTACCCCCCCCCCCCCCCCCCCCCCCCCCACCTCTCTCTCTCTCTCTCTCTCTCTCTCTCTCTCTCTCTCTCTCTCTCTCTCTCTCTCTCTCACTCTCCGTGCCAATCATGCAGGCAAACTCTTTTTGACACTGCTCTCCTGGCTGTCTCGCTGCTGTAACTTGCTACAACCCCTTGGTGGATATTCATTATCCCACAGGTGCTTGAATTATTCATTCTGTACATTTAGGTGAGAAACAACTTGATGCAGGCATGTACATCTCCTAATGGCTATATGTATATACATATATATATATATATATATACACAGTATATATAGGCCACGACATATGTATGTATCAATTTGTCGTATGGCGTGACATGAAAGTTATTTTCTTACGTTTTTCTTTTCTAACATCGTGCATTTCAAGCATGTCTACTTCGATGTAAGACATTGCTTTGTAAAAAATGGATATATTTTGGATTCATTTTCTAAATTATTTGCAAAAGAGGACATTGTTCCTTTGCTAAACGGCACAATATAGTGACAGTGAAAAGTGCAGTAATGATCATATAGATAACGTCTTTCTTCCATCAAATGTTTAAAATGTATGTTTTGTGCATTTAAAAAAAAAATATTTATGTAAAATAGAGTGAGTGTCATTTGGTCTGACTTGGAAAACCCGTCACACCATTTGACATTTTGCTTAGTCATTCTAATTTATTAGCCAACTACAAACAGCTGGCATATATTTATCATGTATTTAGCAACATGGCAGCAGTGATTGTTTTTTAATTAATCAGTAAACTTTGTGAAATACATTTTTTAATGAAAACCATGGCACACCTTAAAACAGAAAACATTAACCACTGAAGAAAAACATATTTGCAAAAATCATAAAAGCGACAAAAAAGGACAAAATGCTTTTGGTCAGAAAACTTATTACGTTATGCATAGGCGTCAACACTTTCTGTGCCTCTTGAAAACACCTAATATTTGATAGTTATAATTTATTTGGAATCATGCCTTTATCATTTCTATACATATTTATATATTGAAGCATTTAAAAATATATGTTTTTTTTCCTATCTATTTTAGAGATTAAACTTACCTGAAAAAATAATTTAAACACAATAGTCTGCAGGTGCTGAGTGTGAGTCTTTGCGATTAATCTCCTAAAACAGATTTACTCGTGTATCTCTGTGCTGTGCAGTGCTGCAGACCTCTCGATTGTATTGTTTTGCCCTAGGAACAATTATTCCTGCATGAGAAAACCCCTTACAGAGTGTGTGTGTGTGTGTGTGTGTGTTGCGTGTGAAATGTGGGGGTGAGAGAGAAAGATCTTAATGCACATCCATCTGACCTACAAACATCCTCACTCTGACACCAGGCTTATTTCATTAGGACCCATGTGTATTTTCTTTTCAATGGTCAAAGAAAAAAAAATCCCCAGATGCAGCTGTTGTTCTGTGCACCACTTTGTGTACGTTATAGAGCGTTGTGTTTTACAGTTAAATGCACCCGCAGTGTTTTCTCTGTATCTGCTGTTATTGTTTCTATCTCGTTAAAAAAATGCACTCTCCATCTGTCTTCACAGCTCTGAAAAAATACTCTGGGACGTGAGTGTTTGGTTCTGTAATTGTCCCACAAACCGTCACTACTTCTTTCCTGAGGATAACCTAGGAATTTTGTGTTTGTTTTTTTAAATATAGTTTTAAATTACAAGGTGTAACATTAACTATTTTTTATAATAGTATTTAGTATTTTAAAATATTTTTTTTCCCCAAATGTGAAAGCCATTATTTAAAAATTAACAAAAATACAATGAATCACATGACAACTTAACTTGAAGTTGAAAGACCATTATAATTTTGGCAATGATAACAGTTGGTAATGTATGCTATCAACACTGCAATATCAAAGTATTTAATCACATTCATTGTTTTGGACATTGGATTCAAAATTCACCACACATGTTTAAAATCCCTTCGTCTATACTTTTGAAAACTTCCCAACCGTTGCACCTACAAAAGCTTAGTGGAAATGTCTGTAGGGACTGTGCTACTGTGGGTTTCTTCCCTGCTGGTTGAGCATATTTTCAGCACTGCGTTAGTATCGATAACGATACATTACAATATAATTTATATAAATATATAATATAAAGTCGAAAATTGTCTCTGGGTAAAATGTATTAAGTTATAAATATTTTTAAAAAATATTTCAATTCGCTCAGGGTTGAGTAACGCGAATAGCAAGACCTCCACTCCTCTAGATGGCAGTAACGTGCGTTTTATTAGCATCACATTTAACAATGCAATTGTTTACTTCCAGTTGAAATTACTTCAACTTCCGGGTGAATCCGTCTTGCCGTTGCGCCGCTGAGATTTGGCGACCACTGACCAGCCAAGTCATTCCTTATGGATTACTCTACACCACAGAATGTGTTTAGACAGCGTAAGTTATGTACGTGACGTTTTGTTGACAAATCTAGTTTTTTTCCTTATCGCCGTCTTCATGGGCGCTGTCTATTTGAGTGAAGAGGCGATGCTAGCTAACTGTCTCTGCCTGATACCGCTGTGCAATGGGTAATACATGAAATTTTGTAAAAAAAAATACACGTACCCCGGGGTAAATACGATTATGATTGCAGAGAAAATATTCCTCTACTGGTTGCAGGTAATTGCTGCGTAGTTATAAGTCAGCCGATGCTCATTGGATATTGCTGATTGGCAACTTTATCTAAATAACTTTGCTGCTTTTATTTGAACAGTACAGTTAGATGTGTCATTGTGTTTTATGAAAATCAAAGTCCACTTCTTCATGCTGCTTTGAAATACTGACCCATTTGTTCTAGTTTCTGATTATCGGTGAGGGAACAGATGACAATTGCTTATATTTATGCGTTTTCGCGATTACTCGAACAACTAGTCTTTACTCACTGTACTGTATGAGTTATCGGTTTAAAAATCACCGAACTTTGTAACCTTACCCTTATTTTGCCCCACAACAATAAACATTATATTTATTTATTCTTACCACAGACAACTTGGCGTAAATAATTGGAATACGCCTTTAAACTCGACTGCCGGAAATTATATAAACAAAAGTGTGACCTACCCCCAATTTGCAGCTGTTCGGGATTTAAATGTTTGCTGATTGAAAATAACGACAATCTTTGATCAAAGGACTATTTTACATACGATATTCATAATTTTCTGAAAAGAATTAAAACATCCCAAAAAATGCGCCTAATTTGCCTAAAATTATATAGCTGTGAGCGTTTTTATGCTTTAACTTCAGAAAAACACTTTTCGGGACCTTTGATCAAAAGCATAATTGTATGCTAATGCTTTCTGAAAGTCTAGAAATTCCACCCCCAACCTCCACAAACAAAAAAAGAATTAAAGTGCAAGTATTTGTCTGAAAAATTTGCATTTAAAGTCTTAAATTACCAAAAATTAATACAAATAAACTTTTATAAATATGTAGCTATGCATGTTTTTCATGCTTAAAATTCAGAAAACATTTTTTGGGAAACATTCACCTTTAATAAAAAAAATACTATTTCATTAAATACCTGAAAGCCTTATAAAAAAAATCTCAAAAATAAATTAAAGTGCATTTATTTGTCTACAAAGATTTAGCTATGAGCTTGTTCATGCTTAAAGTTTAAACATTTTTTGGGAGGGGATGAACAGCAAACTTTGACCAACAGCAAAATACAAAATTTTTTTCAAAATGTCTTAAAAAAAATAAACATTTCGCAGAAATGAATAAAAACATACTCCAAATATGTACGTAGTCCTGGCCCTCCTGCCCACATGCCGCCAAAGCAGGACTGATGAATCACATGTGAACACTTTATTTTCTTGTGTTATTCAGATCCAAATATGCGCCTGAGGAACACTTCCATTGATGGTTCAGATGGCAGCCAGCTGTTTGACGATACAAGCGGAGCTACACCTGCATCACAAATGGGCTACAAGTATGAGCACTCTTCCACAGTCTGTATTGTTTGAGCTTGACGCCACAGCTAACTTTTTTTTTTCCCCATGTTCATTGGCAGGAACCAGCAGGCTGGTCCTGAATCAGCTGCATATCCGGGCCAGTCGCTCCTGTCAGACCCCATGTCTAACTTGGCCATGGCATATGGAAGCTCGCTGGCGTCCCAGGGCAAGGAAATGATGGACAAAAATGTAAATATTGCTCATTAAATGAGAAATTCTGAGTCTTTAGGAAAAGCCTATGTTTTTGAGCTAAACCAAAAATTCCAATGAGGCATCACATGTGACTGAACTGCATTGCTGCGTGTAATTGATGTCAGTCTGTGGTTTTCTGTTTCAGCTGGACAGGTTCATCCCAATTTCTAAGCTGAAATATTATTTCGCTGTGGACACTGTGTATGTTGGAAAGAAGCTGGGCCTTCTGGTTTTCCCCTACATGCACCAGGTGAATTTTGCAGTTCTTCTGTTTCCACAAATAAATGTTTGATGTAGTTGGTGATGTGCAGTAAGTGAGATGGTACAACATTTTGAGGAAGCTCTTGTGTATAAAAAGCACTCACACTCTTGGATACATCCAAGATTTTAATAAGAACAATAAACGAATATTCTTAAAATATTAGTTGATATAACAGTTTGATGAAGGAATAACTGAGAGGAATCCTGATTGTGTTGTTTGTTTTCAGAATTGGGAGGTGAACTACCAGCAGGACACTCCTGTTGCTCCTCGTTTCGATGTTAACGCCCCTGACCTTTATATTCCCACCATGGGTTTCATCACCTACATCCTTGTGGCTGGTCTGGCCCTCGGCACACAAAACAGGTACAACTGGCATGAATCCACGTCCTGTTTGTTTCTCATGTGGAATATTTGAAAAGAAAAAAAAAAGTTTGTCCTCAGGACATAAATGTTCACCGAGTCTCTGAGACTCTGAAACGCTTCTTCCCACCGCAGGTTTTCTCCAGAGCTGCTGGGAGTTCAGGCCAGCTCAGCGTTTGTCTGGCTGATCATGGAGGTCCTGGCAGTTCTTCTTTCACTTTACCTCGTGACAGTGAACACTGACCTCACCACCATCGACCTGCTGGCATTTTCTGGTTACAAATATGTCGGGTAAGATGCTTTACTTTTGCTCATTTTGATTGCTCACCGCACCATTATGTTGTTGAATTGATGAACCACTTTCTGTCTCTTTCTGTTCCTCAAGCATGATTGTTGGTGTCGTATCGGGCTTATTGTTCGGAAAACCTGCCTATTACCTGTCTCTGCTGTGGTGCTGTGCCGCCATCTTTATCTTTATGGTGAGTCTAAAGAGCTGCTGCAGCTGATTCATTGATCCATTTTGAATGTAACATGTTTTAAACAGAGGAAATAATCTTTGTGAGAACTTTACCAAAGCTTACATTCGCCTTTTTTCGTGGAATTGATGTAAAACTCATTTTGTTTCACCGGCCGAATACAACCTAATTAGATGTAATGTGGCCTGACCAGTACAATCTTAACCTTATTTACTATCTAAATAACAATTAGTAATTTGTTTTCTGACTGTTTTCATGCAAATAAGTAGAAATATATTAGATATTATTGTGCAAATAAGTAGAAATATATTAGATATGTATATTGCGTTTGTGTATACAGTGGTCCCTCTTTATATTGAAGTTCTCCTTTCGCTCCCTCAGTACATCGCAGATTCTTTTATTTCAATCTCGCAAGAGTTTCGCTATATTGCGGTATTTTACAGTAAATATTTTTTTAAATTTACAATATTTTCATTATTTCCAAGAGTTTCGCTATATTGCAGTATTTTTACAGTAAATAATATTTATAATATTTTCATTATTTTTCTAACCTAAAAAATTTTAAACAATCAAAATATAGCAAAAAATAAACTAAAAGACTTCGCTGGTAGCTTTGTTTATCTAGAGGAGACTGAACACAGCATTGAGCATGCTTCTTCTGTTCCTCACACTGATTGGCTCATGCATCGTAGCATCTCTCAGTATCTCCCCTTCTCCAGACGCCACTCGTTCACTATGCTCTGCGCCGTTATACGTATAGTACGTTGCTGTAAAGTTTGTGCTCTTGTGTTTGGTGAAAGTTAACCCTAATTTAACGCCCTACGATGCCTCGTTAACACTCTTGATCATCTTCTCAGGCTTCTGTTACGTAGCCCAAACAAAGACACGGACACAGATGACAGTTAACAGCCTTTATTTTTCTTTACAATAATGTGCACTCCTGCGCTGTGCCCGGCTTTCATATACGGTCCGTCCGTCCGTCTTGGCCAGTATTCACTCCTCTGTTCACTCTCCTCTCTCCTTGGTTCCGGCTCCTATTAACTTAAGGAAAGGGGCGGATTACTATTACAATTGCACTCACCTGCGTCTGGGGCTGCACCTGTTCCACCACTGCTGTGCTCTCATGTATTTAATTTATTTATGTAATATGTATGTCTTATATTTCCATTCTCCAACTCTACTGTACATATAATTGTGTGGGAAAGGATAACACAGTCTAGGGAGGGTTGATAACAGTGTAGGGGAGGTTTGTAAAGGGTAAATATATGTAAATAATATAATAACTATCTCGCCCCTACTTTGTGGATTTTTTGTTTTCGCAGTGGGCCTTCGAACGCAACTACCGCGCTCCACCGATAGGAGAGGGACCACTGTATTTTATAGAGAATTAGCTTGGCTTAGAGAATTATTAGTCTAATAACGAAGCTATAGTTAAAGGTATAGTCCATATTATTTGGACAATACCTTGCACTTTTTAGTAATTTTTCTGGTCTTTCTTCTTACAAATCAAAAATATAGTCCATATCGTTGATGGCCATCGTCTCCACAGTTATGGAAATTTGCTCCAAGTCTGCCATATGCAGTGGAACCTCGGTTGTTGAACGCCTCCCTTTTCAAACAATTTGATTAATGAACACATTTTTTAACCAAAAATTGTGGTTCGAGATATACGCGCTATATCACTTATCTTTTTTTTGTTGGATCGAATTATTTTCATTTGTTTTGTGTATGAACCTGTACACAAAATACTTTTGAAAAAGTTCGGATAAGCAATCAGGAACGGATGAATCCATTTTACATGGATTCCTAGTTTTCTGTTTACGAACGGCCTTCAGAAACAAACAAAGTTTAAAAATCGAGGTTCCACTGTACGTTGTTTCTGCAACTTGAGTTTTATTTTTTAAGTCAATTGTTTAACTTGCTTTTGGTAAAAGTTTAAGCATCTATTCATTTTATTTTTCTTTGACTCGTAGTTGCAGAATCCTATCTTTTTTACTCTCACTTTACTTTGTTTTGTTTGCTGTTTATGATGCACTAGGAGTTGCTTTGCTAATGTCTCGTATTAGTGTTAGCAAAGTCAAGTCCTTTTCTGTGTATCTGGACTTAAACAAATCGTCTTTTCTCAGATCCGCACTCTTCGTTTAAAGCTGCTATCGGAGTCGGCAGCTGAGGGGAGGCTGGTGAGAGGAGCCAGGAATCAGCTGAGGATGTACCTCACCATGTCCATAGCAGCAGCACAACCCATCTTCATGTACTGGCTCACCTGCCATCTCATCAGATAGAAACTGGAACAGAGGCACACATCAATTGGAAGATGAACTTGTTCTCCTCACCTGTCATCTCATCTTCTAAACTGGACCAGGATAAACTGGATCAATCGCCTCACGTGAAGTTCAACTTTTCATATTTGTCTGGAATCGAACAACACAGAAGAGCCACAAGATCATAAGAAACCTTTTTTTATGTCTTTGCCGCAGCAAAGCCTGTTAGTTGTTCTGCCCTTTTTTGTTATGTCCCCAAAGAAATTGTGGCAGAAAGCGGCTTTGTTGTTTTCTATCCAATTTGTTGATTGTATTTTTTGTACTAATATTTAATGTACATTTGTGTATAGCAACAGCATTACTGCCGAGGGGGCTCTGGTCTGACAAAAGTGATGTTCCTGAGCCGACATTTATGAAAGCACACTAACCTCACACACAAATGCAGTCTTGCTTGTTAACTTCAACAGTCAATCCTACGTTTACTTCAACAACTTCAGGATAGTGTTATTAATGTTTGTCCTTTAACTGCAGAGCCAATAAAGTAAGGTGTACAAATCTCCTAGCAAAGTCTCATTTAATGATTTTACAAACTAAAATTATACCAATAACCTGGTCTTGTTATTCAATAAACCAATTACCATTAATTTGTTATAAATAAAAATATTAAATTAAAAAACAAAACGTAAAAACTTAAGAATAATGACAGAACAACCCCCACCCAATCTCGACATCAAGACAAATCTAACCATAACCAAATCTTACACTAAACTAGAAAATGAAATATGTATTAAAATAAATAAAAAAAATGTAAAAATGCAACTTTATACCCCAAAACATGCTGCCAAGTAAAACGTTTTTGCTAAAAACTCTAAAAAGTATTTTATTTGAATATTTAAAAAAATCACCCAAAACATACCTTACTATATAGTAAGGCATGTTTTGGTTAGAAACACAAAATATTCACTTGGTAGCATGTTTTAGGACCTAATCTTGCATTTTAAGGCATTTCGGGGACTTTTTATTTTTATGGATATTTTCACGATGGTAAGGCTATAGTAAGGCATGTTTTGGGTGATTTTTTAAATATTCATATAAAATACTTTTTGGACTTTTAAACACAAAATATTCACTTGGCAGCATGTTTTAGGACATAGTCTTGCATTTTAAGGCATTTCGGGGACTTTTTATTTTTATGGATATTTTCACGATGGTAAGGCTATAGTAAGGCATGTTTTGGGTGATTTTTCAAATATTCATATAAAATACTTTTTGGACATTTAAACACAAAATATTCACTTGGCAGCATGTTTTAGGACATAGTCTTGCATTTTAAGGCATTTCGGGGACTTTTTATTTTTATGGATATTTTCACGATGGTAAGGCTATAGTAAGGCATGTTTTGGGTCATTTTTCAAATATTCATATAAAATACTTTTTGGACATTTAAACACAAAATATTCACTTGGCAGCATGCTTTAGGACATAGTCTTGCATTTTAAGGCATTTCGGGGACTTTTTATTTTTATGGATATTTTCACGATGGTAAGGCTATAGTAAGGCATGTTTTGGGTGATTTTTCAAATATTCATATAAAATACTTTTTGGACATTTAAACACAAAACATTCACTTGGCAGCATGTTTTAGGACATAGTCTTGCATTTTAAGGCATTTCGGGGACTTTTTATTTTTATGGATTTTTTCACGATGGTAAGGCTATAGTAAGGCATGTTTTGGGTGATTTTTCAAATATTCATATAAAATACTTTTTGGACTTTTAAACACAAAATATTCACTTGGCAGCATGTTTTAGGACATAGTCTTGCATTTTAAGGCATTTCGGGGACTTTTTATTTTTATGGATATTTTCACGATGGTAAGGCTATAGTAAGGCATGTTTTGGGTGATTTTTCAAATATTCATATAAAATACTTTTTGGACATTTAAACACAAAATATTCACTTGGCAGCATGTTTTAGGACATAGTCTTGCATTTTAAGGCATTTCGGGGACTTTTTATTTTTATGGATTTTTTCACGATGGTAAGGCTATAGTAAGGCATGTTTTGGGTGATTTTTGAAATATTCATATAAAATACTTTTTGGACATTTAAACTGGTACCAGGCTTCAAATTGAAATGCATTAGAAAAAACACCTGGTACCAGGTGTTACCAGGTGAGGATTTTCACTTTTTTTTTTTTATATAGCTGAATAAACCTTTGATGACATGTGTGAGTTTCGTTGTGAGTTTAACTTGTGGCTGGATGG